AAAGACAGAAGTGATCGGGCACCCGCTGCTTCGTACCCCTGCAATCCTTTGCAAGATGCTGTTTCTGCACGCGCTGTGGCAGACAGTACTGTGCAGGTCGTGGCTAGCTGAATCTGGCCCAGAAAAGGCAAGCAGTGACCCGCCTTCACGGTCTTTGCCAACCACCTATCCGTGTGTTCTTGCAGATGCACACTTCCTCTCGTGCCCGCCGAGGTGATAGCTGCGCACGCTCAGAGGAGGAGAGCTGGAAGGCCGCGGCGCAAGACCATAGCACACGAACAGCCGATGATGGGTTGTTCAAGTTTACAGCGAACTAATTGCAATTGTTGGATGGCATAGGCCCGATACGTCTTCGCGCTGAAAGACCGTCATCGCTGCCGCATTCTGCCGGAGGACTGTTGTTGCTTTTAGATGTCCTGCTGCACTTGCACCCCCTGCACAGCGCACCTACTCACACCGTCTCCCAAGTGGGTTCTACACGAACTGGAATTTGCAAACCTGAATCAGCATACAGTTGATGTGCGGCAGGAGCTATGTTGGGATTCTGGGCGTGATGAGATGGGCAGGCCCAAGCCCAGAATGCTGTCTGATGTAAGTGCCGGCAGAGGCGACGCCTCCTAGAAGTCGGCTTAAAAGATGTCGAAAGCCTTCAAGTCTGCACCAAGTCGAAAAATTCTTTCACCATTGGAGTGCAAGCCGATCCTATGAGGAACCCGCGGTGCCCAGTACCGTATCGACACCCGACAAAGATCGAACTCAAGTAACTCGTCAGGTGGGGAAGCGGTTATATAACCCGGGACAAGTGCAGCAAGAAGTTCCGACCGAAACACAATACAGGCTGACAGACATGCGCAGACATCATCACATCCACTTGGAGGCCTTTGCCGCGGCGCTGGCATCTCAAGATGCACCTAGGTCGTGGCTTGGTTGCAACTATGCATTACTGACGACCCCCTGCCCATAGGAGTGCGAAAGTCCGATGACCCCACACACTCCCTTCAACGCAGCACCGCTGTGATGTGACGGGCTGGGAGTGTTGTACTTCAGTTGCTCTTGGGGAAAACGAAATTAAAGAGCCGCGAAAGTTCTCTCAGACTTACGGAAATGTACAATCAGAGCTAGGGCCCAGAATTCCGGTTAGGCCCACCCTTGCATAAAGTGGCCCACAAGAGTGTTAGTGTAATATAAAAAGGGGTTGCCATAATTGTGAATCACACTCCCAATTGCAAGGCAGTAAATGTATTTTAGCCCCCTGGTATCCCCCGATCTAAGGGGGGGTTGAAATACAATAACCCCTCCATAAATGTATTTTCGACCGGGTCCTGGTACAACAGATGCAGACCTGCATGCCAAACCCGGCCACAGTAGCCTGTCCCTCCGAGAGATCACTTGCAAGGCTGGGTTGACAAGGAGGTCATCTTTAGCCCTGGTGGAGGACCACCCAGCTGACAGGTCAAAGTCAAAGCCGTTTAGGCCACATTTAACCAGCGGTGTTGGGAAGTGCTGGGCGTTGTTGAACAGGGATCTAGCGACTTCACGTGCCTGGAGAGCTGGTTTGCAGTTGAACCCACTCCTCAGCAGGATCCTTCGCTGACTTCGACTTCCGCGTGCTGAACTTCCGTGTCTTCCAGGAGTGATGACTGAACTTTCCGAGCTGGCCTGTAGGAGTGGTCGACGTCTTGATGTCCCCATAATGCACAGAGCCCAAGCGGCAGGAGCTGCCTTGGAGACCTCATCCAGGCAAGGATGCTGGCAAAGGGCATGTCAGAATACAAAGCACTCATGCTGGCGCTGGCAGGTACCGATGGTCCTTGGGAAGACAGTGGTCCTGGCTTTGTGGGTGGGGGCCTTGAAGCCTTGGCGCATCGAAGGAGTCGAAGGGCTCATGCCGGGATGTTTGGAGGCCAAGAGCCCGAGGCAGACGAGGACGGAGCCAACATGCGAAGCGATGCCATTTAGCTGGCGGTCACGGTGTATGGGTTTAGGGTTTCACGACCGACTCTTCTTCGCAGGAGGATGATGAAGAGGACGTGGAGGAGGACTCACCCGATGAGGGAGAGGATGACGAGGAGCGCCAGGGTCACCAATGCCGTTCCCCGCAGCTGACCGGAACCAGGCCCCAACCCGAACTGATCGAGCATGTCCGGGTGTGAGAAGTGGCGGGTCTGACAGCCGGCTGGAGTCATCAAGCCTATCAGCGGCACAGATCTTGGGCCCACCTGACCGCTCTTTACTCTTGCTGTCGCCTGAGTGCGGCAGCTCGTCTGTTTCGTTCATCAAGGCCAGGTATCGCAGGTAACTTCGAGCTTTGGAATTCCGAGGACGAAGAGGAGCCAGATGAGACGCAGCTGCTCTCGGAGACGGAGAGGGTCTGAGCAGCACTGCACGCGCTGCGGGAGCGTTAGGTCAGCAGCGGTAATTCTGACTCGCACAAAATGGGGTATATCGTGGTAAATCACGGTATTCACCTTCACCGTTCTCTGTGCGTTTGCACACGCAGATGAAAGTGCGATCCCTGTGAAGGAGGAAGGCCAGGACAGTGCCTCGGAAGCGTCACCGCGGGCTCCACGCAACGAGGTCTTCGAGCCAGGTGATAGTCTTAGTGAGTCTCCTTTCTGAGCCTCTCTCTGGCTCAGGCCGAGGACTTCGAAGACTTGCCGGACAGTGACAGCAGTCCCTTGGGCTGAGTGCCGGTGCTTTGTGGCCCCAGCATGCTGCTGTCTGCATAGGGCATCTCCTTGCTCGATTTGCGCTTGTCATTCGTGGAAACCTCCTGAATGACTGGAGCTTCACCATGGTCATAGCAACATACAAACTGAATGTAGTGAGGTTTTCAACCCTCCGCCCAAAAAAGGCATCCATACCAGCCAGAGCAGACCGCGCCGGCGCATCCTTGGATCGTCGGGTTCTCATCTCTTTGCGCAGAGATATGCCGTAACATGCCGGCCGTGAGCTGTGCTGGTCAGCTACTCCGGGTAGTTAGTTGCGGCTGAAGTTACAAGTTACATGACCATGCATCCGCAAGGCCCGCGGCACAGTCTTCGCTGCCACCCCTGACCTCCTTGCCCACACCTACACTCATGGACATGGATCTTAGCCACTCCGCCACGTCGCAGTTGACACAGTGTAGTGATTCTTGTGGGAGAAGCTCGGCATATTTGCGTTGTTTCGGAGCATGCCTAGGATTTGTTCGGTTTTGTACGGATGTCCACAAGCGCCATGGTCACGGCACGTTCAGGAGAGTCGTAATTCAGCCCTTCGGTCTACACTGAATCCAGCTGTAGAATCCTGCGCCAGGCTTCAACCGGAGCTTCGGCCGAGACAGGGACCGGCCCCTTCTGCGGCACACACTGGCCCCTCGACGTCGGCTCTACCTTCACGACGGTCATGTCAGATACATATTCAGAGCACCGATGAGAACACCATTCTCTTTAGATAGGTTGGCATGTTCGTGATGAGGTTGACAACGGTGAGGATCTCATGCTGCAGTACCATCAACTGTCTCCTGTTGCTGTTGCTTTGCCGCTTGCATGTTGCTCCAGTTCCACTGTCACGTACCAGTGCTACTAGTCTGGACTTTTTAAATTGCACGATCATACGGGGTTCACCGTCTGTATCAGGAATCAGGGTCTGCATCATCTGGATTTCTTGCATGTCGAGATGGAGTTGCTCATTCACCCAATTTCACTCTCTGGGGTCTGATCCGTTCGTTCTCCCGAGGCCTGGGGCAGCCGTCGCGCCGCCTCGGAGGCTGCAGCGGCAGCTGCGGCCGCTGCAGGCCTCGTGGACGGCGCTGCGCTCAAACAAAGCGAGGTGGATTTAGAGCTCCCGCATGGAGGCTGAAGATGGCTCCTCAGATGTAGTATGATATAGTGCAGTATACCAGGACAAGGTATAGTGTCCCAAGCATTGACACAAGTGTCAGTGCATCCAATGGTTCACACATGGTGCAGCTTTGGACATCACTATAGGTCGGAGACGGGATCTCCTTCCGCAGCCTCGCTTCTTGCGAGCTCTTCGCCCCCCTCCGCCACCGCGACTTGGGCTTCCCTATTGGACTATGGCAAAGGAGGAGGGAGAGAGAGAGAGAGAGAGCCTGATCGTATTCTTTATGGCTTTAGCTTCAAAGTGACTTATACTCGTTACTCACTCCCTTGCTCCCAACAAAACGTTGGGTGGGCACTCTGCCCGGGGGATTTGACAGTCCCCCATGTCCAAGAGAGAGAGAGAGAGAGACAGAGAGAGGAGCAAAC